AAGGACAGAAGCTGCCAGGCCCCGTCCCTTTCCAGTTTTCTGCACCCTCCCTCGTCCATTCTGAGCACCAGCTGGGAGCCATGGGGGCTGTTTCCTTTTGTCCCGCCTCTGCTGCCTGTGGGGAGCTCCCTTCGGTGCGCAACAGTCTGCCCTGTCCGTGTGGTCAGGAGAACTGGGCCTGTTCCAGCCCCGGCTGACGGCCCCTCTCCCTCTTCCCAGCAAGTGAAACTGGAGGAATTTGGAAGACCAAAGATTGATGGGGAACTGAAAGTCCGGTCCATAGTCAACCACACCAAGCAGGACAGGTGAGCAGGGCACGTGCTGTGGGCTGGGTGGCATCCCGCCAGGGTCTGGCTCTCCCTGCCAGGGAGCCGCTCTTAAGTGGCTCTGAAAGCCCGGCCTTCCTGTAGAAAGAGCTGCCTGGTGGTGGCTTGGTGTTGTTCAGTTTTAATTGCTTCCTTCCTTCTCGTCAGCGAGCGGGCGCCACGGCAGTGGGGCTTTCGTGCCTGTGGCGGGCACCAGGCTGGGCTGGGGCAGCCGTCGGTGAGGGCCAGGCCTCCCACTGCCAATGCTCTGCCTCCGGGGACCCAAGACAGGTCTAGAGTGGCTGGATGAACTCTTTGCCAAATGACTGCCAGAGAGTGTCCAGGCCCACGGTGGCCCAGGCTTGTCCAGGGCCCTCCTTGTGCACCTACTGTGCGCTGGGGCAGGGGTCACAGCAGATCTGGGTCCCGCCCTCTTGAGGCTCCCAGGCCAGTGCGGAACCAACTGGGAGTGGCCATCAGGGCTCAGTGCTGCACGGGAGGCCCGCGTGGGGGAGGTGCAGCAGCCCCTTGAAGGGCTCCTGGCACAGCCTCAGTCACGAGGGTAGGGAGCCAAGGAAAGCTTCCTGGAGAAGCAGTGTGGGAACAGCCGAGACCTGACCGAGGCTCAGCGTTAGCCTGGTGAGCCAGGTGAGGGCAGGGCTCGCCTGGAGAGGGAGCCGCGTGCCAGAGCCTCAGGCTCAGCTCCTGCTGCCTCCTCGGAGCAGAGCACACAGTGCCGGGGTGCTGACGCCCCGCTGCGCTGCCTGGCCCAGGTACTTGTTCCTGTTTGACAAGGTGGTCATCGTCTGCAAGCGGAAGGGTTACAACTACGAGCTCAAGGAGATCATCGAGCTGCTTTTCCACAAGATGACCGATGACCCCATGAACAACAAGGACGTCAAGAAGGTGGGGCCTTCCGGGTCCGCCCCCCACTACCCAGGAACGTGGGGGTGGCCTGGAGAGAGGCACTGGGTTCCAGACCCCAAGGGAAGGGGACTCGAAGTCAGCCACTGATGCTGGCCGGGCGGGTTGGGGTGAGCGTCCTCACCCTGCAGGAAGCCTCCCCTCTGAGTCACTGCCTCACCATCATGACCCCTGCTCCTCGCCGGGCCCAGCGCCCCCCAGATGGGTGAGCGAGACCAGAATCCCACTCCCACTTCAGTGGGGCGACTGGAGCAGAGGGGAGAGGCCTGCCGAAGGCCTCTAGCGAGGGTGGGGCTTTCAACCTCGGCTTTCCATCTGACCAGCCTGACTCTAGCCCATGTTGTCCCTTGTAGCAAGCAGGCTTTCCTCTCCCGTCCCACCCTGCAGTGCTTGGAGGAGGGCTGTGGGTAGGTCTGGCTGTGACTTGTCCAAGACACTACATGTAGCTGACCGGGGCCTGTGGCTGCTGGGGCGGGGCCAGGGCTGCAGGGGTGGGGCCTGTGGCTGCTAGGGCGGGGCCAGGACTGCAGAGGTGGGCCTGTGGCTGCCAGGGGGTGGGGCCAGGGCTATAGGGGCGGGGCCAAACCTGCTGTGGGGCAGGACCATGGCTACAGGGCTATTGCTGCCTGGCTCTCTGGTTCAGTCCTGCTTCAGCTGAGGCTTTTGCCCATGGCACTTGAGCACCTACCGTGTTCAGCCCTGGTGGGGTGGGGGGCGGGGTGTCAGGAGCCCATGTTATGAAAGTCCGGGCCCTGGCGTCCAGGGCTGGCAGTGTAGCCCTGGTCCAGACCCAGCGAGTGCAGGCTGGATGAGCCGTTGAGGGTGACCCTCCCTGCCCTGATACCCAAGACAAATAACGGGCCCACGAGTCCCTGCCTCCAGCAGCCAACACTCGGAGAAGAAATCCTTCTCCCACTGATCACCCCACCCCCAACCTGGGCACTGGAGGGTGTCCCACCTGCCAGGGCTCCTGGCGCCCCCACACCGCGGCACCCACCACGGGGCCGGGCTGAGCCTCTCACTGACCATCTCCCCCTTCCTCTCCTCTCCTCATGCTTCCTAGTCTCACGGGAAAATGGTAAGCACCTAGCGCCCAGGTCCTCCCACCTGCCTCAATCATCCCAGCCTGGTGCTGGCACTTCTGCCCAGAGCCAGGGGACCCAGGGGCCTGAGGGCCTGGGCTCCTGGTTTTCTTGGTCCTCCGTCCTCCTCTCCCTCTCCCAATGATGAAATGATTTGTATTCATGATGAAAGACCCACAAAGACAGTGTGAAAGGAAAACCCCGTGACCCTCAGTCGCTGGAGCTCGGGCCAGAAGCTGGGGTTTCTCGGTCTCTCTCCAGGTCTCCATCATCCTTTTTGTTTTTCTGTGTTCTCTCCCTCCTCCCTCCCTCTTCCTCCCCTTTTCCTCTCTCTTTCCTTGTGTCTTTCCTCCTCCCATCCCGCTCTGCCCTTCCTCTCTCCATCCCTCCCTTCCTGCCTCTTTCCCGCCATCTTTTCTAACCCAGTGGGCTCCTATTTGCCAAACTCTTTTTTCTGAACCACTTTGTCCAAGAGCTCGGAGAGATGGCGAGGCCTGTGGGGTGGCCGAAGGGGAGGCAGGGAAGGGGGTAGCTGTGGGTTGCTCAGTGGGGGATGGCTTCGCAGAGGGAGCCCCAGGCCCATGGCTGTTCCCTGCTTTTTTGTTGTTATTGTTCTACTTCAGAGAAGTGAGGTTTTTTTAGCATCACATTTAGGAAGTGAAAGTGGGTGGTCAGGCCTCGTGGAGGGGCCCTGGGTGGGGCCCCGAGCTCATCCTCCCTGGGGTCCTTCCCGCACTGAACATGCATCTACATATCCACTCGGTGGAGCATCCTCGCACACGGGCACAGGCAGGTGTGCAGATCTGCCCATGCACATGTGTGTGCACGCACAGGAGAGCACACACAGCATGGGTGCACATGCATCATACATGTTAAAGCATGTGTGTACCTGCAGGGACAGACACAAGTGTGTGCGCGCACATGCTCACAGGAGCACTGGGTACACTCAGACACAGGTGCACACACATAGATGCGTGCGGGCACAGATGCACACCCATGCACACAGCACACTCGTATGCATGCACAGGTGAAGGCACAAGTACATATGTATTCTCACGTGAGGATGCGGGCGCACAGCTATGCATGCACGCATACAGAGACACGTGTGCACATACAGCGTGGGCAAGAGTGCAGGTACACACGTGAGAACGTGTTCACACAGGCACAGGCACCCATGCGTGTATGCATATACACACGTGTACATACCGCACAGGCAAGAGTACACATGGGCACGTGCCAGGATGTCTGAAGCCGTGTCCGTTGCAAGCATAGCCCCTCTCCCCGCAGTGGTCCTACGGCTTCTACCTAATTCACCTTCAAGGAAAGCAAGGTTTCCAGTTTTTCTGCAAAACAGAAGACATGAAGAGGAAGTGGATGGAGCAGTTTGAGATGGCCATGTGAGTTCCAGGTGGCAGCCCCCAGGTCCCGCGCAGATCAGTTGTATGGGGGAGCGGAAGCCCAGGTGGATTGTGTCTGTGACTCCTGTCAGACCAGGGGTGGAGGGAGGCAAAGTTGGAATGTCAGGGACACAGACAACCTCCATCACCCCTGTGACGCCAGCCTCCCTCGGTGGCATCCTCTTTAACAATCGATCCAGAGTGAGAGGGCTCTCCCTCTGCCACCGCCTGTGCCAGGCAGGCTCCGCTGTCCTGCTGGAATGAGCCATTCCACCCCTGAGCCTGAGCCTGGCACGCCTGGCCCACAGAGCAGTGACCGGCTAGGAGTGGCCATGATGCCAGAGGATTCAGGGTCTTACAGGCTGGTGGCTTGACACCTGTTTTTGAAGCCACAGAACTATTTTTCCATGAAATCCAAGAGGTACCCCTAGATATGTGAAACAGAGAAAGGTGATGAGTGGGTTCCGGGAACACGGACCCTGGAGGGCCAGCAGGGGTCATCTGTGCTTGAGCTCTGCGGGCAGGTGCGCTCGCCTCTCTGACCGTTTCCGCTGGTGAAATGGAGAGGGGAAGGCCTGTGTTCCGGACTTCTTGGGAGGATCGAAAGGGAACCACTGGACACAGCGGGGCCAGGGCCTGGCTCGTGGGAATAGATGCAGCCACGTCGTTTGCACCCAGGCTCTGTGGGGGAGGCCTGGGGCATCTCCTCTTCTGCCACTTGCTTTCCCGGGCCTGTAATTTTCCTCCCAACATCCTATTGTGGAGAAGTTCAAGTGTTCATGGAAGCTGAAGCAACATGATGGTGAATAGCCGTCTTCTCACCACGCCGCCGCCGTCCGCGTCACCCCACCCCACCCCTGGCCGTGCAATAGCGGGTCTGTGTCAAAGTGAATTGCGCACCAGTGCAGCCCCGCCACGTACCTCAAGGGGCCCAATATTTGTTTAGCTTCTGAAATTTCAAGCTTATATCCAATGTGGCAAACAAATCTTAAGCATATGTTTTCTGAGTTTTAACAAATGGCCACACCTGCCCACATCCAATCCCAGTCAGGACCTTAGACCACCACCGCCACCTAGAAGGTTCTGTCAGGCCAGTGCAGCAGTGTTAAAGCTTCCTGTCTGACCTGCCTTCTACCAGCAGGGAGTCTGGGTCCCGAGTCTGCCCCGTGTCGGGGGCAGAGCCAGGCTTGGAGTCCAGGCCCTCCCGGATTCTGCACAGCCTTGGTCTGGAGCCCAGCTAGTTCCCAGGATGGCCACATGACGGGGCTCGGGGAATCTGGTGGGTGTAGCGTCTGCTGTCTTTCCCTCCTGCCAGGTCAAACATCAAGCCGGACAAAGCCAATGCCAACCACCACAGTTTCCAGATGTACACGTTTGACAAGACCACCAACTGCAAAGCCTGCAAAATGTTCCTCAGGTAGGAAACCCCCTCCTTCAGCCCTCACCTCGATCCACGCCCACCCCAGGTCCCCGAGGGAGCTTAGTGTTCTATCTGTCTTGTGTTCCCTGTGGGAGGCCCTGAGGGGTAAGGGGGGTATATCCCACAAGAGTCGGGCCCGTGCCAGGCATGGTGGCTCAAGTCCCAGCACTTTGGGAGACTGAGGCAGGCGAATCGCTTGAGCCCAGGAGTTTAATACCAGCCTGGCAACATGGCAAAACTCTGTCTGTACAAAAAATACAAAAGTCAGCCAGGCGTGTTGGCCTGCACCTGTGGCCCCAGCTACTCAGGAGGCTGATGTGGGAGAACTGATTAAGCCCTGGAGATTGAGCCTCCAGTGAGCTGTGATGTCACCACTGTGCTCCAGCTTGGGTGACAGAGTGAGACCCTGTCTCAAAAAAAAAAAAAAAAAAAAAAAGAGGCCCAGCCAAGCCCTTGGAGTTTCAGATCTAGCCAGGGGGCGATTGTCCCTGGGTGCCCGGGATGCTGTGTGGGGCGGGGAGGCAGGCTGGGGTAAGTAGGGGAAAGCAGGTGTCAGGCTGCCTGGTAAAGGAGGGTCCTGGATACTCAGGGCTGTGAGGGATGTGTGTGCTGGGAGGGAGCCAGCCAGGTGAGCCTGGGTGGGAACAAGGGCCTTGACCTTGGCAGAGAGGCGTGAGGAGCCGGCCCCAGCCTCGACCTCACCTCCCGCCCTCCCCTGTGCAGGGGCACCTTCTACCAGGGATACATGTGTACCAAGTGTGGCGTCGGGGCACACAAGGAGTGCCTGGAAGTGATACCTCCCTGCAAGTTTAGTGAGTACCCCCCGGGTCCCTGACTGTGCCCACTCACTTCTGCCCTCTACCACCCGGGTACTGGGCCTCAGGCACCATCTCCCATGGGGCAGGGACCAGATGAGGACACTGGTGCTTATGTGCCCTGGGGCGGACATCTGCCACACGTCACACACTTATCAGTAGACACAGCCGGGATGAATTCCATTCCAAGCCCTCTCTCCTAATGGGTACTCGAGGACCCCTCCCCATCTCCTACATCCCCTGCCCCGCTCTGGGAGGAAGCTTCTGGAATCTCCACCCCCAAACCCGGCACAGAACATTCTCGATGGGTGCATGGAGGTTTCTCATCACAGAAACACCGGTCACCCTGGCTTCTCCTGGTGGGTGAGCCTGGCCATCAGTAGCTGTAGCCATGTTAGTAAATGGTTCAGACACACACGCACATGCACGTGTGCACACATGGCACTTACAGTGGTTCCTTTCTGTTCATGCCCCTCTAGGGTAGCTTGAGACTCAGGGAGGGGAGAGGGTTGAGCCAGGCTGGCAGTGGGCAGAGGCAGAGATGCGCCCTGGAGGCTCCCCTGAAACATCTTGGGTTGGGGGGCATACATTTGGGGTTGTGCCCAGCTCCGGGCAGCTGGACAGTGGTGCAAAGCCTGAGATGGTTCTCTCCAGAGAGGTTTGAGACATCAGGATGTCACCTCCATCATCAGCCCCAGAAACTGAGGCTTGAAACTTTCGGCAATTTGTCTGCACTTCTTAGCAGAGCTTCCATTCAACAAAGAGCCCCCGGTGGCCCCAGGCCGAGTCTCTGGGTCTTGTCTCCTTGGGCCTCCTGCAAGTGTTTTAAGACAGAAAAACAAGTCAGGCCCGCTTGTCACCCGGAGACGCCGGCGCCCGGAATACATTTTGAGCTGTGACTTTAGATCAATAGTTAATTTATCATTTACTGTGAGTGCCAGCCCAGTACCCTAACCCAGGGAGAGGGCCAGAAGGTCAGCCCGGACCCCCTTGTCCCCACCACAGGCCCAATGCAGCCCCCCAGCTGTGCACAGGATCCCGCAGCCCCTGGAGTTAGTACTGGAGGATTCTGCAGGCAGCCTGTGGCCTGAACGCGGCTTTTCAGCTGTGTCCATCCATACTGCCCTCTTGTGGCCGCATGTCCCTCTCCCAGACGACTGGCTGCAGCCACTTAGAACCTTTTTTTTTCTTTTTCTGATTCTAAAAGTGATACATTTACTTACCAAAAATTTGGAGAAAAAGAAAAAAAGAAATGAAATTTTAAAGAAAGCATCACCCGTGAACTTGCTTAGAAATAATGAAAGGCGGTATTTTGGTATATTTCCTGCCAAGTTTTCTTTTTTCTGTGATTTTTCTGTTTTTGCCCCCGATTATTAATTACTGATTTTCCATAGAAAATTTGGAAAATGTAGAGAAGTGTAAAGGAGGAGAGAAAAACTACTCCTGCTATCCCCAGGCAAAGCCAGCTGCCACGAGGCCCCGGGCATTGTCCTGCTTTCTGCGGACGTGCGCGCCCGCCTGCCCCACCTCTGTATGGTTTTCGGTTTTTCCTAGTATGTGTAGTTAGGGTTCCACCAGAGAAGCAACTGCAGGTCTTTTGGAAGCCGGCGTTGCCATCCGCATTCTCCCATGTCCTGGCAGTGCCCTGGCTGGCCCCAGCTCCATCCTCAGGGACCTGGGACTCCCCCAGGGCCTGTGTCCTTGTCCCCCTCCTCATCTTTCTGCCGGGAGACACTGTCCTTGCCACTTGTAGCTATTTTTCCTTTAAGACTGTCCAAGCTGCCTTCCCTCTGGTCCAGGCTTCTACCTTTGCTCTGTGGTTTGGCTCTGGGCAGTGTTCCTTTGACCATTGTAGCTTTCACCTCTGGGCTCTGCCCAGGCTGGTTTAGCTGTTTGCTGCCCATGGGGGCTGAGATGTCCCGGAGAGATACTGGCCTCTCCTGAGAGCCTTTCCTGTGGGAAGCCTTCATCAGGCACAGTCATAGCTGCTGTCCAGCTGGCCCCCCGACCCCTGCCCACTGAGCTGGAACCTGTTCTCTGGTGTCTGTGGATACCTGTCTGTCCAGGGCCGTCTGCACTGTGAGTGCTGGGTGGAGTGGAGGTCATGTCAGCCGTGTGTGTAAGCTGTTGGGCTCCTTGCCTCCTCTGGTGGTGGGTGGCAGCCAGCTTGCCAGATGGCTGGGCCCTAAAGGGTTTTGGGAACATTGGCTCTCTTCCTGACACACTGAGGTCTTGTGTCCTTGAACGTGTCGGCACCTGGGTGTCTGAGCTGAGGACGGCAAGCAGGTAGCATGCGTACCAGTACCTCCTCATCACTTGCCCCAGCAGGCATCACTAAGCGATTGTGGCAGGTAGCATGATGCCTCCTCATCACTTGCCCCAGCAGGCATCACTAAGCGATTGTGGCAGGTAGCATGATGCCTCCTCATCACTTGCCCCAGCAGGCATCACTAAGCGATTGTGGCAGGTAGCATGCCTACCGATGCCTCCTAATCACTTGCCCCAGCAGGCATCACTAAGCGATTGTGGCAGGTAGCACGCCTACCGATGCCTCCTAATCACTTGCCCCAGCAGGCATCACTAAGCGATTGTGGCAGGTAGCACGCCTACTGATGCCTCCTCATCACTTGCCCCAGCAGGCATCACTAAGCGATTGTGGCAGGTAGCATGCCTACCGATGCCTCCTAATCACTTGCCCCAGCAGGCATCACTAAGCGATTGTGGAAATCTCCCCATTGCGTGCCACGTACCACTCAGTGATCCAGGCAGCTGCCGCCATTCAAAAGAGGTGGCCCAGGCGGGACAACCTTTTCGCCGGCTCAGGTCTATTATCCGGTCCGAGTTCTCCCACGGGCCCCCTAAAGCCAGAGCTCAGAATTTGCTGCCAGAAGTAACCGAGAGGCTTTCACAGCCACGAGCTTGGACCTGCGTGTCCATGATCCATGTCCAAAACAGACCACTTTGTAGCTTGGCTCACTTACCATCTTAAGCTTGTCCCAGAGGCTTGGGTCGGTGTGAGTGAGAGCCGCACGGGGGCTTGGCATCAGTGGCCTCCCCTCTAACACCAGACTTGCTTCCTTTCCAGCTTCTCCTGCAGATCTGGTAAGTCCGAAAACTGTTTCCCCTCCCTCTGCTCCCGCCCCCGCCACAGCCCTGTGTGCCCAGAGCCGGAAATACCCAATTGTCTGCCTCTCACCGCTCCTGGAGCCACACCGGCTTGGATGAGCCACTTTCAGTCACAAGAGGCCTCTGCTTTCCTTGGTGGGTGTCAGTAGAGTCCTCCTAGGGGCCCCAGCGGTGTCTTCCTATCCCAGCTGCCCCCCCTCCATTCCCTTGCCCACTGGCTGCTCGCGGCTGTGGGTACAGCTCTGGGTCCTGCGCGCCAGTCCTCCTGTCACCGAGTTCCCCGGTTGGCTCAGAGCCCTCTCTTTAGCTGATGTGGGGATGGAGTCACTTCCGGGGGCTTCATGTACCCCTCGAGCTATGAGGTCCACATGAACCAGCCTTCATGGAGGAGGGAAACTTCGTTGTATTTGGCACTGTGTGTCCTAGATGGAGACTACAAAGCCCAGGCTCAGAGCAGGTGGTCAGGGCAGGCTTCCTGGAGGAGGTGGGGGCTCGTGGTAAGGAGAGGGAGAGGGAAGGGCACAGACCTTCCAGGAGTGGAGGTGCACAGAGGTGGAGTATATTGCCAGGGTGGGAGTCACATAGAGAACAGTGTCCCTCTCCTCCCCTGCTCCTGCCTTGATCCCTCTATCTGGGAACAAGTGGGGACAGGGAGAGGGGAGGTGGGTCAGTGCATTGGCCACAGTCAAGGAGCAGCTTTCTCTCATCACTGTGTTCTGTCCTTGTCCTCACAGGACGCCTCTGGAGCGGGACCAGGTGAGTCATCTGGACTTGGACCCTCTGCTGTCACCCATGTCAGCCGTCACCTGGGAGCTGAGCCAGGGCCTAGGTGTGGGGATGGCCGGGTCTGCCCAGCCACCAGCTGCTCCAGGCTCCTGGATGCCGCCGCCTGGGGCCCCTCCCTCCTGCCTCTCTGGCCTCCGTGGCACCTCCTTGGGAGTTGGCTCTGTTTCTGATAAGGCAGCAACAGGCTGTGGGGACAGGACCCAGCCTGCAGAGGGGCAAGGGTCTTCTAGCCGGGGAGGGGCACGGAGTTGCAGCCAGAGACCTGAGACCAAAAGGCGCTGCCGTCTTCCCACCACATCCTCCATCCCCTTCCTGCCTTGCTGTGGGTTACTTAATGGAAACGTGCTTTTAGACACAGTGTAGAAAGCATCGTGTTATCTGCAAACTTGAGTGCAGTCCAGGCAGTGCTCAGTACAGCCTCACCCTCATTAACAGAAGACAAAAGATGGAAAACACCGCTGCTGCTGGGACCAGGAGGGAGCTGGGCTGGGAGAGACGTGGGCTCTTTGAGAGCTACAGGCAGAGCTGGGTTGGAGCAAGGCTTGTCTAAGAGCAGCCTCCAGATTCCCCAGGGGCACAGCCAGGATCCCCATTTCAGGCCCAGAGCTCCTCTGTGAGCTCTGTGGCCTTGGGCAAGCTGCTGGGCCTGCTGACCCCTCACCCGTCTCTGACACGAGGGATCCCTCGTCTTCTGCCCCGCACAGCTGCCTGGGGGCCACAGATCTGAAGGGTGTTGGAAGAAAGCACAAAGTGCCATCTGAAAATAAGCTGCTGTTCTGCGATGACCCCTGAATCTGTTTATTGCATGAATGATTTACTTATGATATTTATCAAAAAGACACGAGGCTTATGGGAAGGATTTAGGGAGGGGAGATGCAGGCGCAGGGCTGTGTGTGCTGGGGGAGGCCGAGCTCGGTGATGGGGTGGGCTGCGGGCCGGGGCCAAGTCAGTCACCGAGTGAGCTGCTGAGTCACTGAGTGAGCTGTCCTGTCCTTTGCAGGTCCCAAGATGGTGGCCATGCAGAATTACCATGGCAATCCAGCCCCTCCCGGGAAGCCTGTGCTGACCTTCCAGACGGGCGACGTGCTTGAGCTGCTGAGGGGTGACCCTGAGTCTCCGTGGTGGGAGGTGGGTCCTGGGACCCGGGAGGGTTGAGAGTCCCCGGCTCTGGCTCCTGCCTGCTCCCTGGGGCAGAAACATAAAGTCCTGCATATCCCAGGCAGAGGCAGAGGGCTGAGAGATCACCAGGGAGGAGGAGGCACAGGGTGGCTAGCAAGGCCTTTCCTGCCTCACGTTCTGCGATGTGGCATGCGTTCTTGAGAACCTTAGCCTGGTCTTGCCCTGGGTGTTTGCTTTCACATGGTAGGGGATGCAGTGTCCCTTCCCGGGAGAGGCCCTCCTGCCCTGGCACCCAAGCCTTTCTCCATTGGCCCCTGTCCTTCCTGCCTCTGTTGTGTCCCATAGGCCCTCCTCAGGCTTCTGCCCTGGCCACACCATGCCTACCCTCCTCCCCACCCCTACCTCAGTTCAGGTCAGCAACCTTTGCGCAATCGTGGGGTGAGTGGGCAGGTTCGCTCCTTCCCCAGGTGGGCACAGATGGCGTCATCGTGATGTGGTTTATGGTTTTGAGCCAGAAATGTGCTGCTCTGTTTCCAAGGCCTACAGAGCGGAGATTGTGGGTGTTCATCCCCACCTTCAGCCGATGGCTCGGCTGTAAAGGGTTCTGGGAGCATTTGCTTTTCCTCCTGACACACTGAGACCCCACGTCCTTGAGCATGCTGGCACTGGGGCGTCTGAGCCAGGGACTCAGACACCTGCTCCTGGGCCCCTCTATCAAGCCCCAGTGCTCAAGGGAGCCCCAAGACCCACAGGTCAGCAGAGCACCACAGGGCCTTGATGGCATTTAGCCCAGCAAAGCAGCCTCCCGTGGGAGCTGACGTTAGAGCCGAATGTGTATTAATGTTCAGGTTACAATGATGCTGTGGTCATTTTGTCGTGGTCATTATCAGTCCATAGTCGGTGATGAATTTCTTGTGCTAGACCCTACATTCATATAACAGGGGGTTCAGAGGGCGCAAAAGGCCATGTGTGCTGTGCAGAGTCTCAGTCCTGCTCTGTCCCTCCCTGGGTATGAACAGGACTGCCAGCTTCTTGGAGGGCCTTGCAGAGGTGCTTTGCTGATTTACCAGGCCTTAGTGCTCTCATGTCTAGGGTGGGACGCCCGGCACCTCCCTGCCTTAACTGGCTCCCAGGTCAGCTGAGGTTGAGAAGGAAGACGTTGGCTCTCCCACCCTCCAGGACCTGGATTGAGTCCATCTGCATGGCCCCACACTCCCATAGGCCAGGCTCGGCCCCCGGTCCTAACCATCTCTTTCCTCTGCCAGGGTCGTCTGGTGCAAACCAGGAAGTCAGGGTATTTCCCCAGCTCATCTGTGAAGCCCTGCCCTGTGGATGGAAGGGTGAGTCCTTTCCCACAGAAGCTTCCGGAGCACGGCGGCCTGGGTACTGAGGGTTCTGGGAGCTGTCTCCTCACGTGGACATTTTTGGCTTGTTCGGGATGTCCTTGCTAAATTTAGGCTGCTGTGAGCTGCTTCCTGGAGCTGGAGCCCAGAGAGAAGACGGGTGGGGGCCGCAGGGCAGCACGCTGTCCTGTGTGTAAAGGGCTCAGCCCGTCGGGTGGCATCTCGTTGTGGTTTTAGAAACACCAAAACGGGCATCTCGGCAGCCGCTGTGATGGGGTGAAGACCAGCCAGCTGCCTTTCACCAGATTTCGGGGACTCTATAAGTTCTCTTGGACTATTACGCAGCCTTAGAAGAAAAAAAGGCTCCCCTCAAACGTATGGATTCAAAGCTAGACTTTATGCTATTTAAAACAGAGGCAATATGGTGTTGCTTTCATCTGAGGAGTATGGAGCAAATTCTCGGCTCTGTGACGAAAGGCAGCAGTCAGCCTTGAGTAGAATGAGTTACCCCACCTCCACCCCCAAAAGGACAAGTCAAAGTGAAAATGTGAGACCTCTGAAGGTGCAGGGGGTGGGTGCCCAACCCCACTGTGGCACCCCGGTGCCCCCCACCCCAGCCCCGGTCCTGTCAGCCTGTGTGCCACCTCTGCTGAAAGGGCAAGTGCTCAGTACTTAGCGTGCTTTGGATGACCAAGGGGACCAGGCACCAGGGGAGGACAAGGGTCACGAACTCACTAGGTGGCCTGGGGCAGGTCCCTTCCCTTCCCCAGGCCTCAGTTACCCCATCTGCATGGTGAATAGGGTGCGAGGGAAGAGGTAGTCTCTGAGACTGTGCCCAGCCTGTGGCCCAGTGAGGCCAGGGTCGGGGGCTGTAGCTAGGGAGGGAGCCCTACCTGCTCACTGGAGCGGCAGCGCCCACCTGAGCGTGGCCACCACCAGACCCCCACCCCAGGGCTTCAGGACCTCTGGAGCAGGGAGGTTTGGCTGTGGGTGTGCTCACGTCCACTGGCTGAGAACTCCCCACACATTCGGTCCTTGCCCTCCCAGGGGACCATGTCAGTGTTAGCTGGTGGCTATGCTGGCATCTGTTCCATCAGACCCGTGGGGCATCTACTCAGAGATGAGGTTGTCCTGGCCACTGCCCTTGGGCACCTCCCAGGCCAGGAGCGCTGGGGCTAAGTCCACAGACGGTCCCATCCAGGGCAGCCAATGCTGGGCCTGGGGGTTAGGTCACCGACAGCGACCCCCTCTGAGCCCTGCTCTGTGGATGGCCCTGGGGGGACGTTAACACCCTTGTGCTTTGCCACCAGCCGCCCATCAGCCGGCCGCCGTCCCGGGAGATCGACTACACTGCATACCCCTGGTGAGTGGATCGTGGGCTGCGTATGTGGGCATCTGGTGGCCTCTTTGTTATGGGGGCATGCCCGCCGGGTCTGGGTGGTGCCTGTGAGTGGCCCGGCAGGGTGGAGGCCCCAGGCTGCCTCTTGCTGTCTCCAGGGCACTGAGCCCAGTGGCTCCCAAATGCCTTCTCCCTCCTGGCCTATAACTTGCCAGGAGCCTGGGGGAGTCCCCTTCCTGTAGGCGGCTGTTAACCCTCTCTAAAACGGCTCAGCTGGCTCAGATATTTCAGGGAATGAAACCCTTTTAAAATTTTATGTGCACTATGTAAAAGTGGTATATTTAAGGTCACAGGTGTAATCCATTTACTGACTTAATACAGTTGCTTGGTGGGAACAGTGAGGCTGTTTGGAATCACAGAAGTCCCAGCTCTCCTGACAGCGTGGCAGCAGGTTCTGGGAGGGCGCTCGCCTTGTCCTCCCATGGTGGGCTTCATTACCCACCAGACGTACAGGTGGCAGGAAGAGCTTCGTTTCAAAATCTGTTCAAAATTCAACTGACATAGATGTTGGCAATCTCCAAGGTGTTAGCAAAAAAATCCACATAAGCAGTTATGCCTTTACTGCTTTTGAAATAGTGAAAATATATTTTAGGGAAGAAATTGGATCTACTGAATACTCTGTACTCCTCCGGCAGGCCCTCGGGGTCTGTAGAGCAGAAGATAGCGCATGGGACTGGCTGGCGGCCACAGTCACCCCTCTCTTTTACCCCTCTCAAGATCTGTCCTGAGCCTCACTGTATCCCACCATAGGCAGGGTCAGATGTCAGACCCCACCCACAGTGGTGCCCCACTCATAGGGACCCAGCCTTTTCTCTTGGGTTCATTAGGAGATGAGCTCTCAGATGAGGACTGCAGAGTACTTCATGTGGCCTGCCACGCACGGAGGGCTGGGCGCCCCTCAGACACTATCCTCACTGCGTCTCTCGTTTCCTCCTGGCCCCCTCCTGTAGGTTTGCAGGTAACATGGAGAGGCAGCAGACGGACAACCTGCTCAAGTCCCACGCCAGCGGGACCTACCTAATCAGGGAGCGGCCTGCTGAGGCTGAGCGCTTTGCAATAAGCATCAAGTAAGTGGTGGCTCTGGGCTCGAGGAGACCCATCCGCCAGTGCCGTTCTGAAGTGGAGACCACTGTCCTCTCCACGTCCTGAGCTTGTGGGGTTGGGGTGGACATGTCATCTGTTGCCCAAGTGAGGACATTATTGAGATGAAAGTGGTACTGAGGACCCAGGGGGTCTCTACAGGTGTGCTGGGCAGGGCCTGAAACCCTGTGTGGCATGCACAGATGGTCCAAGTTTACATCACTCCTGGCTACCCTGTGGGCTAGGTTGGACATTTCTGGATTATAGGAACAAGATAAGCTCAGGTACAAGTGGGTGGGTGAAGTGCTATGTGAGCTCAGGGATTTCCCAGCAGCCGCACAGGTTGAGACAGTGGACCTGTCACACTGCTCTGAGGCAGCCAGGGGCCTAGGAGGGTATCTCCTGTGACTGCTGCTGCCTTGCAGCTTTGGCACAGTCTGGGCATCCTCTTGCCCTGTGCCCTCTCCCTGGGAGCTGCCTCCTCTTGCCCTATGCCCTATGCCCTCTCCCTGGGGCTGTAGTTAACTCTCCAAGAGACAGACCCTAATGGGCTGGAGTCCACCAAGCACTGAGCTGGTGGGACATTGCTCACCTGAAAGAAAATTCTCAGAAAGCCTTCTGTATGCCTGGCCTGCAGGAGGCTAAGATGGGCCTTGCCGACTGGGAGCTGGAGGTGGGTCACACACACTCATGGTACACATTAAATCCAGGGAGAAACAAGATGGGTGCTGTATGTAGGCCTCACAGAGGACCAGGCAGCCAGGTCACCATTTGTTTAACAACTGTTTATTACATTAGCTGATTTGCAGATGTTAAACCAACCTTGCATTCCTGGAATGTCCCACTTGGTTGTGGTGTGGAATCCTTGCTGTGCGTCTGGTTTATGTAGATAAATACAGTCATGGGCCACATAATGACATTCCAGTCTGTGAGGGACCCCATCTGTAGTGGTGGTCCCATAAGATTATAATGGAACTGAAAAGTTCCCATGGCCTGGTAACATCACAGCTCAGCCCATTACTCATGTGAGTGTGGTTATGCTGGTGTGAACAAACCTACAGTGCTGCCAGTCATATAGAAGCATAGCACAAACAATTCTGCACATATGTAGTATGTGATCATTGTAATACCTGACTCTGTTACTGGTTTATGAATTCACTGTACAGTGCTTTTTATTTTAGAGCATACTCCTTCTACTCATCAAAAAAATACTTAATTGTAAAACAGCCTCAGGCAAGTCCTTCAGTAGACATTCCAGAAGAAGGCGTTGTTATCATAGGAGTAAAAACAACAACAACAAAGAAAAAAAACAGAAGAAAGCTTATAGAATAAGGATACAAAGAAATAAAATATTTTTGTACAGCTGTACAATATATTTGTGTTTTAAGCTAAGTATTATTACCCAAGAGTCAAAAAAGTTAACAAAAATTAGAAAGTTTATAAAGTAAAAGAGTGGCAGTAAGCTAAAGTTAATTTACAATTGAAGAAAGAACATTTTATTTATTTATTTATTTTTATTTATTTATTTATTTATTTTTTGAGACAGAGTCTCACTCTGTTGCCCAGGCTGGAGTGCAAAGGCACGATCTCCACTCACTGCAAGCTCCGCCTCCCGGGTTCACGCCATTCTCCTGCCTCAGCCTTCCGTGTAGCTGGGACTACAGGCGCCCGCCACCACGCCCGGCTAGTTTTTGTATTTTTAGTAGAGACGGGGTTTCACCATGTTAGCCAGGATGGTCTCGATCTCCTGACCTCGTGATCCACCCGTCTCGGCCTCCCTAAATGCTGGGATTACAGGTGTGAGCCACTGCGCCCGGCCAGAAAGAACATTTTGAAAATAAATGTAGTGTAGCCTCAGTGTCCAGCGTTGATAAAGTCTACAGTGGTGCACAGCAATGTCCTAGGGCTTCACATTCACTCACCACTCTCCAGCTCACCCAGAGCAACTTCCAGGCCTGCAAGCTCCAGTCATGATGAGCGCCCCATACAGCTGTCCTGTTTTTTATCTTTTCTACTGTGTTTTTACCATCCCTTTTCTATGCTGACCTCATGTTACAACTGCCTACGGTATTCAGTAGGTCTGTAGCCTGGGAGCAATAGGCTCTGCCATCCAGCCTAGGTGTGGGGTATGCAGTAGCCTCTGCCATCCAGCCTAGGTGTGGGGTGTGCAGTAGGCTCTGCCATCCAGCCTAGGTCTGGCTGTCCAGGCTTATATAAGTGCTCTGCCATCCAGGCTTATATAAGTGCACTCCGTGGCGTTCGTACAGTGATGGAAGCACCTGCCTGCATCTCTCAGGACAGGTCTCTGTGGTTAAACACCGCCTGACGGTATGGGAGAGAGATTCGGTTTGCCAACTGCTTGCTAAGGATTTCTGCCTCCACAGTCATTAGGGGCATTGGGCTGTAGTTTTCTTGTGATGTCTGTATCTGGCAAGGGGGTGGGTGGCATTCAGGGGAGGGGTATGGGGGCTGCTCTGTAAGGTCATGTTTGAATTGAGGCCTGAGAACGTAAGGGGGCCTTGAGAACAGAAGGAGGTGAGCATCTGGCAGGGGCAGCAGCTGGTGCCGAGGCCCAGACAGGCTTGTGCTTGGCACCTTTGAGAAGCAGGCCCAAGGCCTGGCCGGCCAAGTGGACATGCAGGGAAGGATGTCAGGGCTGGGCCCAGCTGCTCCACAGGGAGGAGGAGAGGCTCCTGGTGCCGAAAAGCAAATGAGCAGAAGCCCAGGATAGGAGGCCTCAGTAGGGCTGGAGGCCGGGAGAGGCGGGGAGTTGAGCAGCCGGGGATTCTGGGCCCCAAGTGAGCAAGGAGGGCAGGCAGGCAGGTGGCCCGAAGGGCTGGGGTAGGACAGGGCTGACAGGGAGTGGCCCTAGGGGCTGGGAACGAGGGGCTTTGGTGCAGCAAACACAGAATGAGCCTGGCTGCCGAGGGGGCCGGGGCCATGTGGCCCTCATGCAGTGACCACCGGGGCCACGTGTTTGCCCAGATTCAACGATGAAGTGAAGCACATCAAGGTGGTGGAGAAGGACAACTGGATCCACATCACAGAAGCCAAGAAATTCGACAGCCTCCTGGTAGGTGACTCGCGGCTCCAGCCGGCTCCTATCCCCAGCCAGAGGGGACAGGTACTTCCTCCCGGCCCTGAGCAAGTGGCCATGTTTCCTGTGAGGATTGATTCTTCCCACTGTGGAAAAGATTTAGGGAACTGGTTTTTAAGGCACTAGGACAGCTAGAGCTGTGTCACAGCCTCCTGGATTGGGACTTCTGACCCCCAAAGCCTGGGCAAGGTGGTTGACCCTGGTGGACAGTGCAGGGGTGGGGTGGGGGCAGCCCAGGCCACCAGCATCCCGATTCCTCTCGTGCCCATCCTCCTGCGAGAGCAGAAACTGACGCCCAGTAGGGATTCCAGCTGGGGCCTGGCTGGGTAGCCCCGTTGTACATGTATGGCTTCAAACAACTCCTTCCCTGACTCACCCCCACGCTCCATCCCAGCCGGAATGCAGTTAGAGGCATAGTTCTTGAAATGATTTTAAAGTTATGCCTACATTTTCTTTTCTTAATTACAAAAGTTGTATATATTGAGAACTCCTGACTAGAGCCCCCAAGCTCTTAGCTTCCCCACTATGGCTGCAGAAAAGCACAAGGACAAGCAGAAATCCATAATCTCAGGCTGGGCATAGTGGCCCATGCCCGTAATCCCAGCACTTTGGGAGGCCGAGGTGGGCGAATCACTTGAGGTCAGGAGTTCGAGACCAGCCTGGCCAACATGGCGAAACCCCATGTCTACAAAAAATACAAAAATTAGCCGGGCATGGTGGCACATGCCTGTAGTCCCCACTACCTGGGAAGCTGAGGCACGAGAATTGTTTGAACCCAGGAGGCGGAGGTTGCAGTGAGCCGAGATCGCGCCACTGCACTTCAGCCTGGGTGACAGAGTGAGACTCCGTCTCAAAAAAAAAAAAAATTCCATAATATCCCATCCCCACCTCCAGAAAAAACAAAAGCGGAAACCAGTGTTCGCACCTCAGTGAGTCCTCAGGACCTTTCTATACGCAGCTTAGGTGTGCTTTACATTATATACATAATAATGCTGGCAATACCCCAGCTGATTTTTAGTCGACTTTTCAAGGCCACACACATTGACCATCAGTGAATCTTTCCCTGACGGATGGCCGCGTGGCTCTCTGTCACTTGGAGATCCTGTTATTTCTAGAAGCTTGCCCCAAGTGCTGGATACAGAGTTTCCATTTTTCCATTATAAAAGCTGTTGGCCGTCAGCGTCCGTGCTGGTCCGTCTTTTGGCATCTTTTGCAGATTATTTTCTCTAGAAATTTTTTGGGGGAGTTGCTGGTACCTTCGAGGTACTGACCACCCACCATGGGCTGGGGGGGAAGTGGGGAGTTCTGAGGAGTCCAGGAAGCTAATCTCCCCCACATGAACCAGGAGGTGGGAGAGGGAGGCCAGGTCACTGCGGGAGGACTTCCGGAGGTGGCAGCAGCTGTCAGTGAGTGTGTATGCCCTGCAGGAGTTGGTGGAGTACTACCAGTGCCACTCACTCAAGGAGAGCTTCAAGCAGCTGGACACCACACTCAAGTACCCCTACAAGTCCCGGGAACGCTCGGCCTCCAGGGCCTCCAGCCGGTCCCCAGGTAACTAACGCCCCAGCCCAGCCAGCACACCAGCACTCCTCGGAGGGGTCTGCCCTAGCCCATTTCTCAGGGCCCAGATCCTGCCCTCAGAGACCCAGGCCAGGAGTCCCACCCTTGGGAACATAGCCCCAGCCCCCCGCCCGCGCCCCCAGCTGTCACAGATGCTATCTCCTGGGCCACGTGACAGGCAGCGCTCTGCACCTGCTCAGAATTGCTCCTCTGTCTTGGCTCCTTCATCCAGAGACCAGCGGGGGTTGGAGGGGCCAGATCCAGGCAGAGATCCCTGCACATGGAGCTATCACTGGTGGGAGAGAAAAGGGCAGGCCCACCCGTTCCCAGATCCCTGTCTGTGCCCAGGCCCTGGGTCTCCTCTGTGAGAGGCAGCCTGTTTGCAGATTGGACTCCTCAACCCAGAACAGGGAAGGCCACATGGAATCAGGAGCAGAGGCAGGCCCAGAGCATGCGGCTTCCCGCTCAGGACTCTGTCTGGAGTCACCCCACATCCTCCAGCCCGCAGGGACCTACAGGGCCTTGGGTCCCACACAGGCTGAGCTGGACAGGAAAGGAACAGCTGGCCTTAATGAGCACCTGCTGGGTGCCAGACGAGGGCATGCGAGGAGGTGGTCCCCATTTGCTCTCGAGGACACAGGTGCAGAGATCGGCTCCAGGGTAGCTCAGGTGTGGCCGAGTGGCGCCTGTGCCTGGGGGGGCTTGACAACCCACACTGCCCCCTGCCTCCTTTGCGCCCTATAGGGCCTTTCCTGCCATAGGGCCTGCCCCGCCCCATGCCCCCCAGCCTGTAGCTATGCCCACCGTGACTGTGCATGGATGCCCTGCTGCCCGCCTCACGTTCTCTCTCGCCTCTTTGCAGCTTCCTGTGCTTCCTACAACTTTTCTTTTCTCGGTCCTCAGGGCCTCAGCTTTGCTTCTCAGGGCCCCTCCGCTCCCTTCTGGTCAGGTACCGCTGCTCCCCAGGGCGTGGGGGGACCGGGCCTGTGGCAGCTGCCTTGGGACACCCAGCACGGAGCTGCTTGTTGGCCCCACAGCCCTGCCTGACATGGCCACAGTTGTCCGCAGTCTGGCATAGGGTGGCGGGGAGGAAGGGGCTGGAGAGCCTGGGCAGAGGCTGCTGCAGGCACCTGAGGACACGTCAGGCTTGGTCCCACCCTTGTCACCACCCACCCCCTGTGGACACGCCCACCCTGATGGCCACTTACCCAGCCCCGGCCACTGTCATTCCTCCTTGTTCATCAAGAGCTTTGCCTCTGGTAACAAAACAGGTGGCCACGAGGAGGAGCTGTGGGACTTGGGTGCAGGGAGGAGGGGGTTTTAGTCAGCCCTGACCTCATGGCTTTCAGCTGCCAGAGTCAAAGTCCCTTCCCAGCGGCTGTGTGTGTTTCGCCCTCAGCCATGGTCATTGACACCTGTCTATCAGGATTCTGCGTCTGGGCCAAGCTGGTTCCACTGGGTTGCTGGTTGGATTTGGGCTCTGGAATTGGGAGACCGCTGGAATGATGATGGTCAAAGCCTGGCCACCTGCTCGTGTCCCTAAGAGCATCCTCATTGCAGGGATTTGGATGTGCTGTGTCCCCAGACCCAGGGGGGAAGAGGGCTTGGGATTGGAGGCCAATGTGTCCCTCCAGAGCCTGGATGCTTGACATCCTTCCTCTCTGGGTACAGAGCAAGGTTCTGGGCACCAGGGGAGAGACCCAGCTTGGCCCAAGGGCCTCCTCGATCCCTGGTTGGGCCCCTACTGCTGCTGTGTGATGCTGCCCATCTCCCTCAACAGTGTTCACGCCCCGCGTCATTGGCACGGCTGTGGCCAGGTACAACTTTGCTGCCCGAGACATGAGAGAGCTTTCACTGCGGGAGGGTGACGTGGTGAGGATCTACAGCCGCATCGGCGGGGACCAGGGCTGGTGGAAGGGCGAGACCAACGGACGGGTGAGTGGCCCTACCCTGAGGGCGCGGGGCTGGCCTCGCTGCAGCCCCCACCTGGTCAGACTCAGGCAGACTAGCACCACAGCTATGTCCACACCCCTGGCCCTGTCCCAGGCACCCTCTGCAATCTCCTTCATCCTCACAGCAGCCCAGAAGGCTGGCGTTCACAGGGGAAACTGAGGCTCCAGATGTTTACCACGAACCCAAGGTCTCATAGCCCAGGAATTGGCTACAGAGGTCTGATCTGGATCCAAGCTCCTAGGACCCTCCACCCTGTTCCATTTTTATTCTGGGCTGCCCTCACAGCTGCACTCTTCAAATTACTTGTAAGTCCCCAAGCTCTGTTTGCAGGAAGGGAGGTCACAGGACTGAGGAGGACACGGTGTCCTTTCTGGGCTCCTCCTGCCATTCTCTAAGGCCCCATCTATGCCCTGATGAGGCAGTAGGGACACACTGTGTCCCTACCCACCTCCATCCCTTCACACTTTCCCAAGTGCCAGGTGGGCTTAAGAGTGCCCTGGGCACCCTAAGATTCTGCATAAGTCCATGGCCTCTTCATCTCAACACCCCATCTCTACCTCTAGCTTTGGCCCATGTCTCTCAATACGTATCCATCCAAGCACCAGAGCTCCGTGTGCCACCAATTAGAAAATGCCCAGCTTCCTCTTTGAGCTGCAGGTGCACAGGGCAAGTGCATGGGGCTGCAGAGGGCCAGTTAACCTTGACTCCCAGTGCTGACACTTCCATTGTCCAGGGGCAAGAGCCGCTCTGCCTTCACCTATCAGGCAGTCTGCCCCTTGGAGGCCCTCAAGTCTGATCCAGTTTTTACCCAACTGCCTTGCAGAAGTGTCAAGGCTACTTGGCGTAGGTAGCCCACCTAGAGGGCTGGGACCACTTGTTTTCAAAGTGGTCCTTGTGTGATTGGCATTAAAAGTGTCTGGAGCTGTAATATAATAAGCACATACCTGAGCCCTTTCCCAGATCCAGGTATCTTCTATACAGCATTAAGTTTTAGAACAACTAGTTTGAGTATTACTGGGTAATTCCTGTCAATTTGACCCTGTTATCATTATGAAACATCTCTTCTTTTCTCTGGCATTTATTCTTGCTGTAATCTCCTTTATCTGCTGTTGTAGTGACACCAGCTTTCTTGGGATTAGTGCTTTGTGTGGCACATTATTTTCTCTCATACTACTTAAACTTGTCTTTTTTCTTATATTTAAAATGGGTCTCTTATAAATAGTTGGGGAAGCCAGTCTGATCTGACAGTCTTTGACTTTTAATAGACATATGTAGTCCATTTACATTTAATGTAATTACTGAGCTATTTGGGTTTAAATAAGTAATCTAACTTTATTTTCTATTTGTCACATCTACTCCTCTTTTCTTCCCTCTTGCCTACTTTTGAATTAATATATTTTTAATTCTACTTCCCCTGCCCTACATTGGTTTGTTAGTTACACACTTTTTTTCTTAAGTGGTAACCTTACACCAGAGATTCCCTTAAATGAGTACTTTTTTACTATTTCCCAGGCAATGCAAGGAAGGACCTTGCAACTTTTGATTGTATCCATTTTCCTTCCAACTTTTGTGCAAGTGTCATCATGTATCTTAATTCTATATATATTCAAACCTTAGAAGACACTGTTTTTGTTTTAGGCAGTTGTGCTCCTTTAGATTTACCCTGTGTTTACCTTTCCGAGGGCTCCCCATTTCCTCCTGCATTATTGTATTTCCACCCAAGACCATTTATCTGCTGGCTGACATCCCCTCTCTTTCATATTTTTAAAAGTTTATCTCCTATTAATGAAGTCTCAGTTTTTGTTGAATCTAAAAACATCCTTATTTCACTTTCTTTTTAAATATTCACATTGTAAAATGTTTGTAACTTATAATTTTGAAACAAAATTTCAAACATAAATTTTCAAAATTTCATCTTAAAAGTGGGAGTAACCTGCCCAGATTTACCAATTGTGAATGTTTTGCCCCGTTTGCTTTATCATTTGCACTGTGTGTGTGTGTGTGTGTGTGTGTGTGTGTGGGTGTGGGTGGGTGTGTGTGTGTGTTTGTCTATTTCTCTCTAACTCATTTGAGAGTAAATTGCAGAAATCATATTTGTTTACCCCTAAGTATTTCCTAAGACCAAGGACATTCCCCTTTGATATAATACAATTATCTAATCCACTGTCCCTATTCAGATCTTACTAGTCATCCCAATCATGTCTTCTCTAGCTCTTTCTCCTGGTCCTGGATCCAATCCGGGATCATGAACTGCTGTGATCCTTAACTCTCTTTAATCTAGAATATTCCTCAGCCTTTCTCTGCCTTACATGACTTGTACGTTTTTGAAGAGTTTCAGCCAACTATTTTTATAGTAGATCTCTCAATTTGACTATGATGTTTCTTCATGATTAGATTGAGGTCGCATTGGGAACACCACAATGGGGACATTGGCACTTTCTCAGTGCCGTAGTGTCCTGTTAGGAGATGAATTATACCAGTTTGTCTCATTATTTGTGACATTAACTTTGATCATGTGTTTAAGATTATATTTGCTATGTTCTTCTACTGTGAAGTTAACTGTTACCTGTCATTAGCAAGAAATTTGTAGGGTAATACTTTGAAGTTAGGTAAATGTCCTGTTCCTCTTCAAACTTTCATGTATTAGTTTTATCTTCCCTTGATGAATTTTATCTGTTCTATTATTTCTATTGTGGCTGAAAAAATAGTGATTTTTTTCGACTATCTATAGATATTAGTTGGCATTCTACTGTAAGGAAAACTTTCTTTTCTCTTGTACTTATTCATTTTTCCCCAGGAATCAGTCATTTTTCCAAGGAGACCTAGTTCCTTTCTGTGAGTTGTTTTGAGTTCATTTTTGAAGTTCATTTGAAGTTTTGAGTTCATGTTAAGTTCATTTTGAAGTTCATTTTGAAGTTTTAGGTTCATTTTACTATAATGTGCCTAGGTGTGATTTTTCTTTCTTTATTCTGCTTAGGATTTGCAGAGATTTTTTTGAACCTGTGGCTTGATGTCCATCACTTTTGGAAATTTCTCAGCCAGAATAATATCTGCAGACAGCATATCGGTTCCATTTTCTCTCTTTTCTCCTTGTCGGACTTCATTCACATGGATGTTAGAACTTTTTACCATGGCCTCATATTATTCCCACAATTTTATGTGTTTTTCGTCCTTTTTTCTCTCTGATTTTCTATCTAGTCACTTTCTAGTGACCTGTCTTACAGTTTATGCATCTTCTCTTCTGCTTTGTCTAAATCCCTCTATTGGATTCTTCATTTCATTCATTATATTTTTCAGTTCTAGGATTTCTATTTGATTTCTGATTTAGGTTCTCTGGTAAAATTGTCTGCCTTTTCATCCGTTTTCTTAAACATACAAATTGGAGTTATTTATCTCCCCTGACAGATGACCTCAATACCTGTGGGTTGATTTCTACTGCCTGCTTTTTCTGTTGGTTTTTGTCATTTGGTCCTGAGCTTGTATATTAAGAAAAAAACTGTAGCTGTTCTGGGTGATGTTCTTTTCCTCTGGAGAATTTATTTTTTTTCTGACTGGCAGGTGGAGGGTGGGCAAAACATCTTAAATTGGCCAAGGGTGGTGTTTTTCTGGGTTACTTTTATTCCTGGGCAATGGTTCCACCAGGTCCTTCTGAATTGCAGGCCTTGCTGAGAACTCTGGACTTCCGAAGGACCCCCCATCTTCTTGAGTCTCTACTTGCCCCTACCCCAACACAGACATGCACACACCTGCTTACACACACACACACCCACACACACACACACACACAGACACGATCCTGCCTTCTTTTTCAGATTGGCTGGTTTCCTTCAACGTACGTAGAAGAGGAGGGCATCCAGTGACGGCAGGAACGTGGACAAGACGCACAGATTTTCTTGAGAGAGTCACTCCAGCCCTGAAGTCTGTCTCTAGCTCCTCTGTGACTCAGAGGGGAAATACCAACCTCCCAGTCTTCCACCACCCACAGGGATGGGGAGGGTGTTGAGAATCCTAAACTCGAACCGTTTCACTGTCAGCCTGCCCTCGGTGACCCATCACTGGGTATGCTATTGTACATAGAGGAAACCTGGGCTCGCCCCACCCAGAGCACAGAGGAGGGGGCACCAGCAGCACTGCAAGCCAGGGTCTGGGTAGCAGCCGAGGCCAGAAGCCCATTGCCTGGCCCCGTCCAACTGAGATGGCGGTCAGGAGCCTAGGTTTGAACAGCAAATGCTGTCCCGGGAAGGGCTAGGGACAGCAGAGGGGACCTGCCCCTAGCCCCTCTGCTTAGCCCCTGGACTCAGCCTTGCCTGTCTTTTCCTGCTGCTCTCAGGGGGAGGTGTCAGGCCTCGGGAGGCAGATGGGACCAGAGCCAGGCTGTTCACTGTGGGCTCACTTGCCCCACTGTGCTAGGTAGCGCAGGAGGAGAGAGCACTGCAGTGGCCCTCTGCAGCCCCTCTGGCTCCCCAGACTTCCCTGACTCCCCCACTCCCCTCCATGCCAGGGGCACACCCAGACCCCACAGGGCAGGCCCCTCTCTTGGGAGGGGCCTTTGGGATGGTGAAATTCCAACCCTGCTCCCTGGTCAGTGGTACTGTTTCCTGCCCTCTCTCTGAGGGGCCCTTTCTGGAGTCCTGGGATGGTGTCTGCCTGGCCGTGGCCCTGCTGCCAGGTCAGCACATCTTTTGTAAAAACCCTGAAAGGGGCAGGGAAGAAAACAGGGATTTCCACTCTCTAGATCCCTGCCAGGTCCTTCTCCAGGAGGCCCCTCTGCTCTCCTGCAGGGTGGTCCCTGAGGGTCTGCCCAGCTTTGGCATGAGAGGTTGGTTCCAGCCCCTGGCAGGGCTTCCTTCCAAGGGTCCCTGCAGCCTTCAAACTGGGCCTTGGGCAACTCAAAGTAAGTGCTCTTGGGGGTGGCTGTACCCCATTACCTCCCCCAGCCACGACTCCCAGCCTTTGACCTCCAGCTGGGTTAGCCAGACCCTGGTTTCTCTACCCTGATGTTGCATGGGACCTGGCAGCAGTGTCTCCCTCCCAGCTCCTTGCCAAAGCCTCTGTTGAGACCTGGGCTTCCTATAGCCCCTTATCCCTCTGGCCAGCTGCACAGCCTGTGGGAGGTGCCCGGCCCAGGTTGGGTGTGGGGGAGGCTGATCTCTGCTGTGGGTGGCGCTGGGGACCTGGGGGCTCCTTCTGAGTTTGGCCTTGTGGCCTCTGAGCCGTATGCCTCTGGGGCGTAGGGAAGAGGTGGGAGGAGTCACGGGGATGGGGAGCGGCAGGAGGAGAGAGTGGCCCTCCACAAAGGCTTGGGAAATGAGGGGAGGTGGAGGCAGGGCAGGGGAAGCGAAGAGTCGGCCTGGGAGAGAGCACCCTGGGGCCTGCGTGTCGGGGTACACCCAGCACTTTGCGCCCCACAGTCCAGCAGGTGCCGAGGATGGAGGGGAGGAAGCCGGCAGCCCCTGTGTTTACCGTCGTCAGAAAGGTCTTGTCTTTTGGTTTTGGGGTTTTTGTTGTGTTGTGTTTTTTTGGCTTGTTTGTTTTTTAAGGGGAAAAAAGTTTGTAATTATTTCATCCAAATCTCCCGTTATATATCTGTGAATAATAAGAGATTTTATAATAGCAAGAAAATGATGTATATTTTAGTTTGTTGATGAATAAGTCATCATGATCACAAAGGACACTGGGAAAAAATAATTTAGAGCCCTGACTTTTTGTGAATTTGTTTGTTTTGTGTGTGTTTGTTTTGAGATTTGTATTTGGTTTGGTTTGGTTTTTGCACTGCACTAAGGCAGGAGGGTTGGAGGGCTGGGTGCAGCCGGGATGTCTGATGGTTTTCAGCGGGAGACGGGGTGTCCTCTGCGGGGGGCTAAACTGCAGGGGCCTGAGATTAGCTGTGAACATGTGGGAGCCCGATGCATGTGGGTCAGGGATCTGGGCCCCCCTCCCCCCGAGCTGGCGGCAACCCCAAATGGACACAAACTGTACATTTGCCAATGGGTTTTTTTCGGACCATGGTTTTTACTTGCAAATAAACCTGAGTTCTTTTCTGCAAGAGTGGTCAGCCTTTCGTGCCAGGGATGGAGGGAATGGCTGGATTCCTCTACCTAAGTCCAGCAGGGTCTGTCTGACTGGGTTGCTTGGATCTCAGCATGGCCCAACCTCAGCAGGGTCTGAGAGAGAAGGAGGTAATGGTGCCACGGCCACCATCCGGCTGGCACAGCACCACGGGTTTCCCTTGCGGTGCCCTGGAATTCTCCAGGTGGCATCGGGCATACAAACGGGACTGTAATTCCTGCCCCATCACTTGGGTACCTCCTGAGTCCCTGTTTCTTTACATGTATATTGAAGATAAAAATAGCCTCAGTGCAGTGGCACACATTTGTCATTCTAGCACTTTGGTAGGCTGAGGTGGGAGACTGAGGTGGGAAGCTGAGGTGGGAAGATGGCTTGAGCCCAGGGAATTGAGACCAGCCAGGGCAACATAGTGAGACACTGTCTCTACAACACTTTTTTTTTAATAGTTGGGCATGGTGGTGCACATCTCTGGTCCCAGCTTCTCGAGAGGGTGAGGTGGGAGGATCACTTGAGCCCAGGAGGTCGAAGCTGCAGTGAGCTGTGATTGCACCACTGCACTCCAGCCTGGGCAACAGAGCAAGACCCTGAATGTAAACAAAAAAAAAAAGAAAAAGAAAAAAAACCTCTCCGTTTTGGTGGGTTCTGTGGTGTATGATAGAGAAAACCAAAATAGAAAACGAGAGATTTATTTCTCCTTCCCCTCATGGAGGACTGTCCAGAGGCAGCAGCACTAGGCTCCTTTGCCTTGCCCTGGTCCCTGAGCCAGCAGGAACCCTGGCTCCCCGCTCCCTGATCCCCCGGCCTCAGGGGGATCCTCCTTCCTGATTACCTGTTCTCAGAGGCTCCTCCTTCCTGATCCCCCGTCCTCAGAGGCTCCTCCTTCCTGATCCCCCGTCCTCAGAGGCTCCTCCTTCCTGATCCCCCGTCCTCAGAGGCTCCTCCCTGATACCCCGTCCTCAGAGGCTCCTCCCTGATCCCTCATCCTCAGAGGCTCCTCCCTGATCC